AAACCTTGCTGAGACCTCCATAAGATTCTTTGTGGATGTACTTTACTTCCAGGAAGAATGATGCCTGTGTGAAATAACAATGGCTGGGTTCCCCTTCCCACATTCATGCTCAACACATAAAACGTCTGGGCAACAGTTTTGCTTAGTAGCTCAATTGGGATTGGGAGATACAAGATAAATCACAAATTTCAAATTTCCAGTCTTTTTGCCCTGGCCATCAAAATCAAATACTGTGCCATGCATGTGCATGCATGTGCATGCATGCATACCTCATAAGTTTCCAGTTGAAAAGGCTACTATTGAACAACAAATTTGTGCCAGGAGCAGTAGTATGATTTTTATGCTAAATATACCAAATTTATAAAACAAAATACTACAGCCAAGGTATGTTACAAAGTTGGACTGCAAACATGCTGATCTTTGGTGGTTGTTTTGCTACGATTTTGCCAAGATTTGTTTGCCCATATCAGTGCACCAAATTGAGACTGGACAGAGCAAAAGACAAACAAGGTACAGTATCTTTTCCTTTTGCAGCAGAAGCTCCCATCAATTTTTTCTGCGTATTCAGTTTCACAAAGTCAGAGAGCACAGTAAAGACTAGATCATGAAACTGATTGGATTCAAGTCCAACCTCTAGGTTCTGTAACATGAAGTTCCAACGGGTAAGCGCTCACCCTACAATCCCTCTGGAGGGTCTTGATCAGGGCATTAAAGGTCGTGGTGTCCAGTAGCAGGCCTTCTGTGTGCTCCTCAATGAAGTCCAGGTCCTTGAACGTAGGCAGCGTCTTTTGCCGCTCAGCCTTGGAGGCCTTGCGCTTGTAGGTGGAACCCTTCAGGTCAAACTTCTCGTGCATGGTCACGCTGGAGGGTACCAGGTTGTTCATGACCACCAGCCGGATGTTGCGGCCACCGCTCTGGTAGGTGTAGAGGCCGTAGAACTTAGGCAGCAGCGTTCGTGGATTTTGATTCAGGTTCTAGGGTGAACAGGAGGAGATAGGTAACACATTTTGTGCATTCCACGATGTTCCCCCAATTTTTTTTTTTTTTACCAGAGCCTTCTTGTACTTCAAAGAACCTATCTCTGATACATGTCACAAAGTTCTTAACAAACTCAGTTCTTACTGTATTAAATTTCTGTTCCATTTCCCAAATACAACCATGTGTTTTACAACTTGAAAGATTCTGCAATAGTCAATCTCACATTGGCTGTAGGCCCCGTTGATATCGTATTTTGGCCGATACCAATATATAGGTTTTATATCGAAAATTATAGTAATGTGATGATGCACTTTCGTATTTTGTAATAAAGTTTGTTCCACAGTAGTAATATTTTTGATATACTTTTCAATATTGATGTTTTTGAAGTTTTGATATTTTTGACATTTCTCCAAATCCGATATTTTTGATGTATCAATATTACCAAATAACCAACATCAGCGATATTGATATAAAACCCACAGATAATATCAATATATCGACAGTGCTTAATTGGCTGACTTGTCTAAATATGAACACTGAGATTTTGAACTTACATGTACCATATAATACATGAGCAAAAAGTCAGCTGCCTTGAGTTGTACAAAATACACCCTGGATGTATCTAAATGAAATCACTATATCCCAGTGTCACAACCTAGATTCTACCTAGTAACTATAGAAAATTCTCAAAGCAACACAACTCCTTAAGTTGTAACCCTGGACAAACAATGATTATGAACCTTACGCCAACAAATCTCCACTTACAAGTGTCCTGACCAAACCTGACCAGTGACCTAACAAATGTTGGTTCCATACATGTACAAGATCCTAGAGAGCCTCAGCCTCCTTGTGGGGGTACCCTTGGATTACACAGGATTTAAACCTTGACCTAACAGTTTTGCCACCATATTTTCTGGGATTCCGATGCAGAATTAACCAGCTGGCCAACTTACCATGTAGTACCCTGGAAGAAGCTTCTGTAGAAAGTCTGCCTCCTTGTGCTGCACCGTCTTGATGATGAACTCGTCATCATCAGTGAGATAAAACACGCTGCCACTGGCCCCTGGGTTGGACAGCTCCCGCAACGGCTGGTCTACTAGGGATATCTAAAAAGAAAATTGATTTAGAAAGATTGAACAATAGTGCGAACAATAAGGGTCAGAAAATAAACTCATCTGAACAACTTCTTAATAGATTTTGTGAAGGGATTTTCCAGTCCAAGTCATAGGTGTATACAGTAAGAAGGAAAAACCATAGCAAGATCTCACTGAGGTCTAGCCCTTGAAGTCAAGTGTTCAGCCTCACTGAAGTTGAATGGTACCGGTTGCTAAACTTTGCACCTTTCTGGAAAAGGGAAGGTACACGTAAGGTCCACAGCAAACTTTTTCTTCTTGCCAAATGTACAGGGATTTCAGAATCTTTAGGTCATTCAGCGAAGGTAATAGCTACACCTGACTACATGTAATGCACGCCTTAGAATTTTATGTATACATTTACATGCACCTGCAGTTTCCTCTTTTCTCATTTCTCCCTTAGTAACCACGCAACTAACATAGCATGCACTCATTTGTTCACAAATGTATGCAGATTGGCAGATAGTGTACAATATTCATCTTTGGATATCACACCAATTCTTCAAGCGGGCAAAGAGCAACAATGCCTTTAACTGTTGACCTGCCTTTCTTGCTCTCACCAACGAGGGCGTACTTGTGCACAAAAAGTCCACAGTTTTGGGACCAGTTCATATGTACATGTAAAAGCTAAGATACCATGCAGGACACGGTGCCGATAAGTATCCCCCCCATGTCCAATCCCTATACACACTCTAGACTATTGTTACCTAACACATCCCCCTTGAAGTCTGTAAAGAATTCCTGAGATTCCCATCAAACAATGACCAACACAAAGGTGGGGGGAGGTTCTCTCTGTCCCATATCTTGCATCATATGGAAGCTAATGCCTGTCCTCTCAAACTAGGTCATGTAGGTACATGTACACAGTATGTACAAGTACATGTACATGTAAGTCTCTACATGTATATGAGCCTTTATCTGCCTGGCGCAGAAGCACCCCCTAATTGGTTGAATAGAGCCATGTTGGTGGGGTGTCTCATTTTGTTGGTAGAGACGTGACTGTAATGCATGCAGTTTATAGTTGTTAGAGAACCAGCAGACTCTCAGATTCCTCAACAAGAGCTACACGTTCATGTATTCACCGACCCAAAATAATGAATAAATCTACACCTCAAGTCAGTAATGTACATGTACTGGCTATGTGTCACCCAATCCCTTTTCCAAAGCTAACACTAATGTGAAGTTATAAAAGTAATGTGCCATCAAATATTCCCGCTAGTGAAAAAGTCAAACACATTCCAACTGAAGCGAATTTCACTGCAAATGTTTGGTACTGTAGGCAAATTTGCTTTGCCCACAGTATATGCATTTGCCCCGAGGTACATGTACATGTACCGGTACAGGTGTATGAGCAAACCTTTACTTTTAACCCTGTCAATTCATTCAAGTGGCCACGTACTGTACATGTACATGTATAACAATAACATGAAGACCATAATGCTACCAGTGCCATGTACATACATGTACATGTACCTACATGTAAGTGTACAGGCATGGTGCATGTACATGTACTTTGTATGCAATGATGTGCAGGATATTTACGGTAAATTGAAAGAAAAATAAAAAAACAATGTGCAAAATGGCTCTCAGACAATGCCACTGTTCCTGATAAAGACCCATGAACCTGATAAATACAAAGTAACAACTGTGCGTTATGTTCCAACCTGCAAGAAAGTGCATACTGTACATGTACAAACTAGTATTGATCATGTAAGAAACATGGCCAAAAAAGTAAACATGCATATAATTTTTTTTTAAAGTTCAATAACAGAGATGGAAAAAAGGCACAAAGTGGGAGTGGGTGCACTGTGGTTTTATTACATTGTACAATTATTTCAAGGAGATGTAAATTAATTTTTGATTTTTTTTTTTTTTTTGCCCTGCCCAACATATATTTTAACACTGTATGCTCAGTGTATGCTCCTGAAGTCTTGTAAAAAACCACAAGCATACTCGGGTGGGACTTGAACCCACGCCTGCACTAGTAAGCAAGAGGTTGTGGGTTCGAGTCCAACTCGAGTACACTTGCGGTTTTTTTCACAAGCCTTCGGGGGCATACACTGAGCATACGGTGTTAAAATATATGTCAGACAGGGCAAAAAAAAATCCAAAATTAATTTACATTGTGCAATGTAAGTTTTGGTTTTGATGCTGATATGCATGTATACAAGAATCATGCACACACAAACAAGTACCACACACATGTACACTGTATATACATGTAGCATCCATGCAGGTGTATTCCGTTGTACGTGTGCATGATGCTAATGAGCCTACATGGTCTACGCAGAATTGTTGCATGATAGGGATGTCCATCACATTATTCTGTCACCAAGTCCCTTCACAATTCCAGTCTCAATCATACATGTACAGTGTAAGTGGCAATGATAAACGAACGCTAACTGCTCTGATTAGCTAGTGACTTTAACATTAAAAAATGTAAGTGGGTCACAATCGTGTTGACTACACAAAGATACATACGCATGTGACCTTTACTATGTGCAGATTAACACACAAAGAGATTACTCCCGCCGTTCAGAGACATCATAACCAATGAACATGTTCTTTATACATGTACATGTAGTCCATGGTCAGATAAGCTGTAAAAAAAACAGGGTGTGGCCCCACCCCATTTCAATTCACACTCTTTGACTGCAGAGGAAGACATATCCTTGTTACCTGTAGGCCTACACACCATGTAAACATGTAATTCGTACATGTACCATGTGCATTGTACTCAGTGCATCATGAGTGGACAGAAATTCCCAACTGCCATCTGGACGTACTACCGTACATGTACCGTACATGTACAGTAGTACCAACTGCCATAAGGGCAACCTTAACAAGGATGGCAGGAGGAGTTTAGTTCAATGTTTAATTGGAGTGGACTCCCCAGAAGGCTGCAAAATTCCTCAGTGCACACATGCATGCACACATACATGTACATGAATGCTAAGTGATCACGACTCGAAGACACTCTTATCACAGTGCTGCATCTGAAACATGTAAAGACCGCACGCCAAAGGCATTTAAAACCGGCATCCACTTTGCCATTGCCCGTGTAGTTCACCGCACCTCTCGTGGCAGACGCATGTCCAACCGGCTGATTAATTTACTGTAATTGGTGAGCCCCTCTTTGCCAGACACAAAATAAATGGCCGGACGTGCAAAGGGTGCACGCCGCCTGTTTGCACAGAGCAGTGACCTCCAGTCCATAAACGCGCACAGACACATAAAATGTACTTGTACATGTAGGGGAACACACTATGCACCTGTGTGCACATAATGCACGTCTGAAAGACACAATTATGGATGACAAATGGATGTCTCAGAAGATGTTGGTTGTTTCCTGTTTTGGAGCAGCTGTTTTCTGTCTGCTCATACACGAACATGTACATCTGCATGTACATGCTCGGTGGATTTTCCTTCAACCATGGTACCGTAGGTCCCGCTTTGGAAATTTGGTACAGTGGTGAAGATGTAAAGTTTATCCCTATGATAAATTTGTCCCAACAATAACTAATGTTCAACATGTGTAGTCCCCTCGACTACGGTACCAGTAGGCATCATGTGGTACAATACCATGCGGCCAGATTATCCATGTGAGTTATACAGTGTTGCAAACCTATAAATGTACAATGTACATGTAATATATTGTAATGTCTCATACATGTGCAGTACCTGAAGTGTACAAAATACTTTAATTGTACATTTTCTGATGACTTTCACCCAGTATTCCTTAATCCTCGAATTTAAAAATGGAGTTTTGCACACCCTTGCAGGTTAGGGCCTATGCATACATGTACCTTTGAAAAATACTTTTTTTGTACAGGCTACTGTAGCACCCCCCCAAAAAAAATCAAACTCGTCTTCTGCATAAAAGTGTTATAAATGAAGAACCAAATGTAAAATTGAATAAACCAAACCTGGCTGAGAGTACAGTACATACATGTACGTACATTATGTACATTTGTTCACAGGAAAGCTACACATACATGTGTACATGTACCTGTAATCGAAACATCATCTGTGGGATGATCTTGTCCCATGGTGACAATTGTGGAAGCTGAAATGAAGCTCATTTGAATATTTTATAAAATCTTGAGCTTTCTCCTAAAGTCACAGGTACATGTACATGCATAATTATGAAAGCTCATTTTCAGCACATGTGATATTCTATTTCATTTATTTAGTTTCTTTTTTTTTTCAAATCCACATGTATGTGACCCATTTCATGTAATGTACACTATACCGGGTACATCATTGGTACAAAAACCTTAGAACCAGCTTTTATTTGAAAAAATAAATAGATAAAATTTGCTTTGTATCTTGGTATGTATTTCAATAAGCCTTGCCTTTCAGGCCTGAGAATTAAAATAGAAGTTCTCTCAAACTGATTTTGCTTTCTTCTGACCTTTAAATTCACTTGTTTACCGTTGATACGAGTACACATGCACCTGTAAATCTGCCATCTAGCATACATTTACAAAACATATTTGACAATACATGTATGTAACATATATGAGCAGATAACCTGTAAATGATCTTAGTGACAGTATCATCCATGTACATTTATGTACCGGTACACGTAAAGGAAATTTCAAGACCACACACAATACAAGTACATGTGTACCGGCAGAATATGTCAGGATATCACTGCACAGTAAATGGCCTTAATTGTTTGAGAGTCTGTCTCCAACCACAAGCCACAGTCGTATTGGGAATATTTTCATTCCAATTCTTTTGACATACCGGTACATGTAGAATATTTTCAACACACCCACAAACGGCACAATATGACCAGACTGACAGCCTGAAATTTGTGCACGTCACTGCTGCTTTTTGATTACGTACATGTACCAGTATACACTATGAACATGTACAACGTACAATTGTACGATTTCAATCGTTAGTTACGGGTTTCTGGCAGTAAGCATGAAATGAAATATTGGTCATGATACTGAAGACGAACATGGAAGGTTTATTTTTTCAAAGAAACAGTAACCACTGAAAAAGGGTTGCATTACTGCATAATTGTTAAATTTGAGAGAAACACCAGCAACCATATATGTTCATAAACTGACAAACGCACAAATCATTAGCAAAATAAATTTACAAGACTACATTCCTATGAATATGAAATATTAACAAGAGACAAAATATTTCAGTCGAATTCACGGAATAGTATTACTTTGTAATTAATAATTGCACACTCTGTGTGAAGTCAGGCATGACAGATTAGATCTGTCTGAAGCAGTGAAGCATATAATGCAGTACATCTGTAGAGACCTGTACCTGTACATGTAGGGAAATACAAACGTGTACATGTACCGACGACGTATACTGACCAGTATACATGTGCATGTATAATGTAAAGTAAACCGTGTGACTCTGTTCCTTGCATTATTAATTTTAATGGAGGTAAAGAGGGCCAAGTGCTTTTCATGGAATGTGGTACAGCGTACAAGCACACAATGGTTACGTTGGATAGTGGTAACACATTCCATGTATTATACGAAAGTACACACATGTGTACATGTACATGTAGTAACTACTACCGGTACATACATGTACACGTACGCACCTGTACCGGTACATTGTACATGTGAAGTCGTCACTGTACATCTCAGCCATTGTTTTTCTGATTGCGCCCAGATAGCGTAGGTAAAATGGATCATGTCACGTCAAACCACCAGGAGGATTCATTCCAGACGGCAGTTTTACAATTCTCTTTGTACATGTTGTAAAAGGGGAGGGAATCTTTTAGAACGTCATTTCAGGCTATTAAGGCCTTTCTGCACACTGGTCTTTTCTCTGTGCAATGCTGGGATGAATACTACAGCAGGTTGCCAAGCTTTTCCATGCGTGTACAATGTACATGTATTCCATTCACGCTAGTTTCAGCTTGTACCAAGGGATGGCTGTGAGTTGTCATTTTCTACATTAGATAGAGCCCCCAGCATCAACCCTGGTTTCCACACTACATGTATTGGACTACTGCCAACATGGTGTGGGGCTGCCAAAACCACAGAAATCCCAAATGGAGAATTTGGATAGCGTAAAAGAGCCTCAGCAATTGTGAGGACGAAACTGACCGCCAAGGTGGCAGCAACGGGCACATCAAGAAAACGAACTCAGGGTGTCAGTTTCCATGTACTGTGCAGATATGCCACTTCCATTTGAGTACTTACCGGAGTATCTTGACCTTCAATTTAGGTTTAAGAACACCGCATATACGTGTACTTTTAGCAGGGATGCCCCAATTTTGCCAAACAACCAAACAGGCCATCCATTTGTATTGTTTTGCAGTTACACAGTACTGCTCAAACAGTTCTACTCTTCTCACCACTGCTCCATCAGTTTTTAAAGTTTCAATGCAATGCAACTTTTAAATACCTCCTTTGTGTCCTGTTTGACCCAGTTTTCAATATTTGCAATGACATTTTCAGGTCATTTTCTTTTCACATATTGTACACGTACCTCTCTGATTTTCATTGACAAGAAAATGCAAATTTGCATGTTCATTAACGAAAGTGTCACGCCATCTGAGGCAGAAAGCTCAGTCTTACAGCTAAATCTCCCCCAATTTTGGATATTTTACTTTAATGACCTGTAAACAGTGGTAATTCATTCTTGTTTCCATTCATAAGAGTGGGCCAATGAGCAGTTTTCCCAGAAACATTTTCAAGGAGCAAACTTTGTGTTAATAATTTTAACAGAATAGCTCTCAAAATAGACTTTTTCGCTAATATATTCATAATTATGCACACATGCACACAAATGGCCTTGGTGGCAAGAAGTGTGAGCTGGCCATTGAAACGATACAGGGGTGCGACTTCGATGATTGTTTCTCTCAGGTTTTCTGGGCTTTGTTCGTTTCTTTTCTACAGAAAATCCCATTCAATTGTTCTGCTATTAGTTCCTTATCTAAGCCGGGTTTTTAGTGCTCTGCAAAGAGACTTTATATTTCCTGATTTTTTCCTGTGCGCACGAGATCGCCGTTTCTTAGTATTGCCCCCTTCAATTATAAACTTACATGAAAAATAAATTACATCGTTCGTGTTCTTGGAGCCAAACTGTGCATTTGTAAACACGTACTGATGGTCAATGTACATGTACATACTGCAGGTACATACAGTAGCTTACCACTGAACCTGGTAATACATGTAGCTTGGAGTAATACCGAAAGAAATGGTATCCAGTTGTTGTGTTTGGGGTTGTGCGACAAGCACGAAAGGACAAAGTGCAGATCCCAAAGAGGAAGTGATCTGGTCCTTAAGATTTCCCAAGTTCAGAAAGCAGAGAATCAAATGGGTACAATAAGTAAAATGCACATCATGGACACTTTAATTGCTTTTTTCTTCTTGTGTGTGACACCATCGCATACATCAGGTTGCAACAATGTAAGTCCTCGACTTCGGTGTTAGAGCTTTTCCATTCCATCGGTTCGGCGACACTCTAGAAGCTACATCAAATTGAAAAACCAACCCACGGTAGACTCCAGCAGCGTATTTGCCTTGTAAGACTACACCTAAGTGAGCCATCTCCTCCAGAGAGAGATGAAGCCCAGGTCTGGACAACAATCCTGAAGGTATTCACTTGACTACCTACTCAGTTTGTTTCTCTGTACTCAGAAGGGATTGCCGGGGCAAGCGACTCAACATATTTAATCTGACAGGTTGGTGCATGGGGTTTTCCGTCAAAGAAAAACATGAATCATCACGCACTGCAACAAGTCCCAGTCTGTTCTCCTGCATCAAACGATACCGGAACCTCTCAACATACTGAGTGACTAGATAGGGATGACATTCAAGTTTAACGAGTGTCTCTTCCTCAGCTAGGAAAACCTTTTTTCCTGAACTACCGGTACAACACAAAATGTTAAAAGTCAACAGAATGGCTTCTGTTCTATGAAGTTTAATTTTCCGCAGAACTTTAGCAAACACCATCATTAATTTCTTCAAAAAATGTGTTGCAAAGGGGTACGCATGCAGGCATCTCTTCATGTATACTCTGAATGGGAAACCAAAAAACTCCACTGGATAAAAATATTCTGCCTTTTTCAAAAAAGAAACATGGAAGAAAGAAAGAGACAGAGGCAATTCGCTCTGTGTGTAAATAATCTCATAACGTTAACTTTATGACACATGAACTGGTCCACACATGCTTCACAGGACAAGGCCAAGCAAACGATATATTACTCTATTTATTTCAAAGTGAACAACCACAAAACTTGTTTTTAAGTGTAAAAAAAAAGTCCTCGTTCATCATTCACAAATCATCATGAAGAGCAGAGGTGGGCAAAAAGCCAACATCAGTTGGGTATGACACATCACTGTCGCAGGAGCTTCTGAACTAAAGCAAGAGCAATTTCAATGGCTAGGGCATTCAACGCACCCTCTTGTTAGCAGCTTTCTTGAATCATCCCAAATCCATTACTACACAGGAATCCAATGCTCCTATCTTTCAGAGGACACACTGTGCCGTGTACAGTGACAGAGGCGGAACTCTTCATGCACATGTGTACCTTCAACAATCCAGCCAAACCCTCCTAAACCTCCAGATGGAGAGGCGAGAATTTTTGAAAAAAAGTAGGGCTCTTTGTTAATTAATAAAGATTTCATCTGCATCTTGAAGGAATACAAAACGCATGACCACAAGTCTCATGCTATCCGATTACAGCAAAATATTACCCATACTGCTTTATAATATTTTACCGATGTATTTCATTATCCCTAACACAAATCATCAAGTCCTGTACCAGTTACGAAAGGCACAAATTCACTATTCCATAGCCCACATGTTCAATGTCTGTTGCACTAATACAGAAAAGTAGTTCTGCTTGATTTAATGGGTACATATTTTGGATCAGTTTCCACAACATCTGTGCACTAACTTTTTTAGGGAATTCTTTCTCCGTTCAAAATGCAGATGGAAATCAAACAAATTACACCAACATCTCAAAATACACACTCCGTCTGTAGTCTGCCCCCTTCCCCCAAATCTAGGGGTGACAAAATGGGGGCCAAACGACGGCTGACTCACCAGGAAATCGTCCGGCTGGATCCCAAACAATTCTCGGAAGTAACGGAAGGCGATTGGCGCGTAGGTCTTGAACCTGAAATCAGGGTAGGAGTGAGCAGGTGTGATGTTGCTGCCTTCGCTGTGAAAAAAAGCAGACACCGAAGGGAAACAAACTTAAGTTTTTACACGTGATGAATTCCACAGAAATTATTTTATTCTTCCTTAAAATACGGGTCATGCTCATTCAAATTCCAAAAGTAAAAATAACATGTAAGTAAATGTATGCAGTATGCACGTGAACAAAATGACAATCGTCTTTTTACAATTTAAAAGAGATACATGTATGGCACAATATTTGGAAATATAACAGTAGTTTTACCAATTCTGACATGCACAAGACATGCACACATCAGGATTCGGCAATTTTTTGTTCGAGAGTTGATTTCTGTTAAATGCCGAAGTTCTTTCTGAAGGAATAAGTGACAACAAGTCCTAGTAAGTGAGACTCAAAATTGAATGACCCCTATAATGCAAGGGCAGTCTTTTTTTTTTTGGGTGCAACTAAAGCTGCCCTTGAACAGTCTGACAACCCCAAAGGTTCATTACGAACATTTTTTTCCATCAGTCTTGCTGACTCCTTAGTAAAAAGTAGCCCCAACACACAGAGAATGGACCATATATTTGTGTGTGGGCAATAAGCCTTTTGCTAGTTACATCTGAATAAAATCTCATACACTGAGTTCTTCACATTCAAATAACAATTTGAAACCTCCACACCAAAGACATATTTGTATAGCAAATATACATTGCTATACCTCGTGATTTGGGGCAACTTTTACTTGGTTAAATAAGAGTCACCTTGGTTGGATAAGAAGGGCACTAAGGGCACTAAGGAGGGCACTAAGGAACCAGTCCATTCCAGAGATGCTGGTCGCTATGCACGAGTTACCGGTAGAGCAACAGTGTATTTAGTTTGGGGAATTCAACCTGTTATGTTTATGTGCAATCAAATAACTCAGTGTACCAGATTTTATTCAAATTTAACTCGCAAAAGGCTAAATAACAGGTAGCATGGTGGTGAATATCCCCTTGAAGTAAAAATAGCATACATGTACGGTATATGTATAACAGAGTACCAAATTCAAAATTCAAAGAAAAACAAAAAAAATATGTGAAAGCGCATTCTACATGTACTGCCAACAGAGCCCGAAAGCAAAAGGTCATTCAGCGAGATTCCAGAACAATCGCAAGACTTAACTATGAGGATTTTACGTGAGATTGTCCTGTCACTTTCTATAATTTTTGGAAGAGTGATTTCTGATACCACCCCAAGGAACACTCACGTTGGAATTTCATCTGCGTGCTTTTCATGAAATATTATTGAAAAAGTCACCTGGAGATGGGTAAAAAAACAAATCTCAATAATGACCTTTCTTTTCTGGAATTACCATTCCCAGGTCTCCTTGTTCATGCACATTTATTTTCCCTTTATGACCTCACAGATATATATGAGAACAAGCATGTGTAGCATTGGGAAGAATAACCTGCCGAGGGTTGATAATTTCTGTTTCAGGTCAGGCAATTTTTCAGTTTCTATAAATTAAAACGCTAATAAATATTTTGCAAAGGCATTTTTTCAGAGTTTTTTTAAGAAGTGAATGAACAAAAATAATCACAAATTTTAAATCTTAGCACATTATTTTTCCTATCCAAATGACCCAGAAGCACGTGATCGGGGGTCAACTTTGAGGCTCTATTGTATGTTATCTTAACGAAAAGATCAATCTACAACCTTCAGTTATTAACTTGGAAACGGTTTCAGCCTCCCTTGCAGCCTGGTTTCAATTTTGAAATTTCCCCATAAAAACATTCCAACACATTCATTTCTTGGTTATGGGTGTCCAGTCCCACAATTTGGCACCGGCTCTTGACATCATTCGGGTATCAGTTTACAGGTAATAACTGGAAGAGGTTTTTTTTCACCTGGGGAAAAATACGCTCTCTACCACGGCAAAGTCTTGCAGCAGAACATCTCTCTCAGGCTTGGCCGATAGACTACCCACGGAATGCCCAATGCCAAGCTGAATTGCTGCCATCAACGCAGAGGAGCTTGTCTGCAAGAAACAAAGGTGTATGAAACGAAGATAAACACACGTGTGGTGTTCCAAACGCCATTACTGAGGTGACATTCCACTTGTACAAATATTGGGTGGGTTTTTAAAAAGTCTGTGTGTCGTGAATTATATATGTGTAATTTTCTATATTGAATGGAAAAAAATCACGTGACTCCCCCTTTTGGCTACTCTCTATAAAAAGTGTATTTTTAAGATTTCAAAGTTTGTATGTATTCCCTGACACAGGGGGGTGCATCGCAGTGCTGTCAACAGGTCAACACTGTTACTTTGGAGGATTTCTGTTTGAATTGTGGGCCCGAAATCTCCTCGCCGAAAATGTTTATGAGAAAAATTTAACTCACAGGCCTACTACTGTCAGAAACTGAAACTGCCACAAATTAACACAGGACAAATTCTACAGTGGGAAAATATCCCAAATTCAGACCAATTTTAGTGCAGAAACAATTGTACATGAAGGTAGCAGCCTTGGATGGCATTATACGTACTGTACATAAACATGATGTTCAAGTACATTTACTCATAAACACATTACATGCAAGATCAAAAAGTGACAAAAGGCCCTTGAAATGGCACAGTAACAACTGAAAGTGGGTTACATGGGAATTCAAAAACTCTGTAGGACCCTTTAAACTTGAGGCATGAGTACATTAGAGAAGTCACAATATCCTACATGTATTGGCCAAGAAGGTATTCAAGGATTACCGAAATACAACCTGCAAGCAAGCATGTTACCACTGCAGCGATGTCTTCCAATTCTGATCAATTTACACGACTCCACAAAGGAACGTACATGTACATGCATAAATACTTTATATGTACTAGAGTCCAATCATTCCATTTGTCATACACAAATCGACGATACTTTGATTTCCTCAGGCATGTCAACATATTTTGTTTTGACACCAACCATTCAGTCAACAGAGCAGACATTTTGTTAATGAATAACCGTCGAGACCACAGCTTTAATTTAACGGTAAAATACTGCCCAGTTCCAACAGCCCTGGACGCCAAGTCTAATTAAACCAGAATTATCCTTGATCCAAGATTCCTCAAAAAAACAAAAAAACAAAACCATGAAGCAACCTAGAGTACGGAAATGTTCTGTTCTTGGACGAGACTTGGCTAAAAGGATTCAGAAAAAAAAGCAGCCAGAATTAGAAACCACACAAACTACAAATGACCATGTAATCTTCATATCAGTGCAAACGTGTATATGGACAGTACATGTACCGGTGCATTCCTCATGTGCACATGTACAGTACATGTACCGGTGCATTCCTCATGTGCACATGTACAGTAGATGTACATGTAATTGTGCATTTACCATGTCTATATGTACAGGATATTTAAGAACGACGTAGGATGTTTATAAGTCAGCCAAAGCTCTCACAAAAAGCACACTTTTGAGCAGTTTTGTACTTCTTTGCAATATGGCCAACACTGTCAGTGTTCTGGAAAAATGCAATATTATTTTGAGAAAATTATAATTAATGATTTCTAAATGCCCGAACTGTACATCTGTTTTCCCAAATTTTTGTTAGCCAACTTAGCACATACATGTATGGCTTCATTGTCATGGGATTGCTGACAAATTGCCTACTTTTCCGTAATTATTGCATACTAATTACTGTTAAATATTGCATACTAATTACTGGTACACCATGCACCTTCTGTGAAATTTTGTGTGCATGCTTGACCCTGGACAAACTAACCAGCTGCTGGTACATGTATAGTGTACAGTGCATGCTTCGTGTAGTTCATTAAAAGCACCCACAGGCCATACAAACCTCCCTCTGTGTACATGTACAGCTCAGATGGTACAATGTACCACATAATGCATCCAAAAATGCAAGTAATGGTATATACTATATGTCAGTTGTTTTTCACAAATTTCAAAGCTGCCATAACATACAACATACATGTACCAGGTCCGAAAGCAGGTAATACGCATGTGTAGTACAAAATCCAACATGCTGCTATCTGGTAATTCCCCTATCACTGATTTCTGGGAAATATTTTTGGTTTCCGAGACAATTTCAGGAGTAAATAATACCAGAATACTAGTACATGTATCTTATTCCCCTCAGAGGGGAGGGGTCTGAGGTGGTAAGGGAGGGATACATGTACCTGTCTCATTACCTAACCCTTCCTTGCAAGCAAAAGTAATATCAATCAATACAAGGTGGAAAACGCCATCATCCACAAGACCAGCTTGATTCAGGTTTCCTGGTCACCTTTGGACATTTTTGACGGGCCGAGTTTGGAGCAGGGGACAGATCAATAACCTGCCAACAGAAGCGCAATGATTCGACAAACATTTCAAGCATTAAAGATTGTCGGTTCGCGGTGGGCCGGGATCATTTTCTCTGGATGCGGACTGGGATGAGGTCAGTCTCAGCTTCACTGAGCTGCCCAATGTGGCATGCAGGTATGCTACGGCAAAGGGTGCAGCTTGGCATGGGCAACAACCCTGGACCAATTCAGCCCATACTCTTTAACCCCAAAAATGTTAAACTCCAGGAAAACCAAAATCCCCCTCCCAGACACTCCAAGTCTTCTTGCAAAAACTGGCACGATTGCAAGCGTCTGTTTACAATGTCAAATGCACAAACACGTGTACACGGTACATTCTCCATCTTCAAGTTGACTGAATGAGCCGCAAAAGACAAAGACAATGCCCCTACGAGTACAGACAGTCTTTGCTGTGTCCCACCTCCATGATTAATGCTACGGCACTCGCCTGCACCTGCACTCTACCGCACATTCGATTGAGTCGGCGATGCGTGTTACAGAACCTGCACAAACATGTTGATGCACAACCCTAGCCAAGACAGTCGACAACAAATACTTCTAACTGGGGAAGAGGGGTAGGGAGAGGATTAAATGCCTGTGTGGGGTACATCGCCACGTAATTTCCTAAGTGTGCACGCAGCTCTTGATTCACATTTCTAGGTGTTCTGGTTCATTTTTCATGACAGATGGATTGCCTGCAGTGGCTCTCTGCTCTGACAGGATCACACTATTTACAGCATGGGAGAAATTGTAAATTCACACAGAAAAAGTACAGTACAAGACCATGGCATGCATACATACATATACTGAAACATGTTTGGGTATACATTGTACCCATACATGAGTAATTCCAGAAATTAGGCGTCCATTTTTTTTCGTGTCCCTGTTACATCTAACATATGATTTTGTAAATTCAGAACACATTTTCTAATTTCCATGAGTGGTGAATTAATGCAAATTACCTGCCAAACAAACAGCAATAGTTTGAAATCAATTCCAGTGATATTTCCATGTCAAATAACAAAGGTCAGATGTAACAGGGACACAAAAATGTAACACTTTAGGAGCCCTAATTTCAGGAATTACCCACATGCACCTGTCACTGTTTATACATGTACATACACGTACATGTGTATGTACACAGCCCCTCTACCGTGTGTTGCTGATGTGTATTGGGATTCATAAAGCACTTCTTGTACCGGTAATGGCAGACAATCAGACAGATAACCAAAAAAAAGAATGCACACATACATGTATGTACGTTTAAGTGTTCCTGGACATTTAATTAAATTTGGGCTGTGCTTAACAATTGATTTTTTGCGTAATCTTGGCCAATTCCACTGATGGCACCATGGGAATGGACAGCGAGTAAATGGGAGTTCCGTCAGCTGTGGCATGGTACATATACATGTACATTACATGTGTGTAAACTGTATAGGTCCACTCCTCTTTCTATCAACTTCTTGCTAGTTTTGCATAGTAAAATGGACCAGTCGTTTTGTTTGCAATGTTTCCCCTATTACAAATTTCTGCAGGGGTTTTACCAACCAAAAACATTTCTGTGAGCATTTTTTCAAGCACTCTGTAATCTGAATGAAATGTCCACACAGAGCACTTTACCTTCTTAGAAAGTTGTTCTTTTCTTTCGCAGTCAAAATAGCCACAACAAAATCTGCAGATACATGTTAATGCACCTGTCAGTTTTGACAATGCAGTGTACATGTAAATTTGCAATATTTTATTGACTTCTTTCAAAACAGAAATCGCTCTCCGGTCTCAATCCAGTTATAAGCTCCATACTGATACTCGAGGAACAGGCTGTGGAAGGCTGAAAAATGCTAAACCATTAGTGAAACACTGCTGACACGATGGTAACATACAACTACATGCTTTGTTTTGTGCCATTAAGTATAAACCAGTACCTGGACCTCCGAAGTAGACATGTATCAAATATTTCCCTCATTTTCACGAACACGTAAGGGTGCATGTACAATAGGGAGTGGTTAACAGTCTGTGGTGAACGCTTTTGATAAACTGTGAAAAACAATGGCTGACCCTCTTCATTTTCTTTCGTGCTCTTTTTTGGGGAGTTGTCAAAGGAAGGGTACACTGTACGTTTGTACACATTTATAAAATAATTTTATTTTAAATGGTAGGCCTGAGATTATAATTTGGAACCGTACTTTACTTTTCAAAACTTGTTTCTTTTGTTACTGACAAGGTAATGACCTGGAAAAGCTTCGAAGTTCACATAAAAATAAACTATCAAGTTGTTTATCTTTGATATGTGTTCGGAGTTCAAGTGGATCCAATCACAAACACTGCACAAAGGAACAGGTAACTCCATAAGTTCCAAAAAATAAAACTGAATACAAATGAGAACGGGGGCTTCCTTGTACGTGCATTCAACATCTGTGATTAAGAAATGAAATGCCAGGGACAGTCTCTTTGATTTTCATGAACTACATGTAAGTCAGCTTGCCTGCTTGTGTATACATGTACATGTACGTGTAACCAGCAGATGGCTTCCAACTTGCCCGCCATTCTGCTTATTTACCATACGTGGTTTACTCACACAGTTGTCTGTTGGACTTCTGGAATGCACACCAATATACTGGTGTACATACACCTTATTTGTCACAGGTGAACAATGTTAAACCTTTCAACTAAGCGCTTGGTTCGGTTACCGGTATGTTCAACGTTTCTGAAGAAAGCGGTGCAGACCCCACAAAAAGCCTGGAGGGTTTCAAGGAACATGTGAGGTCTAGGTGTACCAATATGTGTGGAGATGGCCAATAATGTACATGTTGGCTGCGTGTCTCATTTGTTGGCAATGCCGACATCAACCAAAGTTTAAATGAAATGGGATTGCTACTGTCCGGTCATAACCAAGCAGACAATCACTAAATGTAAAATAAAAAGACCAATCTGGTGTGCCCGTTTGCCTTCACTTCTTTCATCAAGGATTAATGGGCAAAGACATCAGGAGCTCCATAACCGGTATCTTCACAAAATGGTACGGGCAAGACACCTCATCAGAGACATCAATGACGAACGTACCCCCCACAAATATAAATGAGCACTGCACACGTAGAGCATGTCGCCTAGTGACAGCCCTCAAGTCAGACTGGCAACATCACTCCATTCAGCAGGATCAAAATGTTGGCAGAGAAGCACCTCCATGAACATGTACGCACATGTCATCCATGCACGATCGTGCTATGCGGCTGCAGCCAAAGAAAATTACTTTCCTCATAGAGCCTCAGGCTTTTCTGTTTCCATGGTTATGCTGCACTATCATGGCATGTAGATACACACATAATACTCTACCTAATCGCAGAGTACTTAAAGTGATTCTTTCAAAGTACCAGTGCTTTAAAGTCTACAATAACCTGGAACGAGCAATGCATTTTGTACTGAGAACTGCGCACATGTGGATTAGCATCACTTCAACAACTGTGAACCAGAACATGAATACTGAAAAATCTTCTTTTTTTTTCTTTTTGGTTAGGGTTAATGGTGAAAAGTTCCACTTGACATTTTGGTTTAAATTGACTACGTGTAAATGTGCCAGGATCTAACTGTATCCAATTAAATGCTCTTAGTACATGCACCATCAGAAAAGATAGCAGGAATCCAGTGAACATGCTGTCCATACAGGTCGTACAGAATAACGATGAGCAGGTCTTGCCTTACCAAACCCTTCAAAATTCTCAAAAAGCATTAAATCTCCAACCACCCATTTGATCCCCCCCCAAAAAAAATATTCAAGAGAAAAGTGTCTTTTGTTCGTCAGTCAGTCACAAGAAAATTCACCCACAAATTGCTCACAGATGCTCTATGGCTGTCTGCAATCAACCTCAACCTACCTTTTTGTACGTTGTTTCACCAAGGGTGTCCACTCGTCTGTGGCCGATTTTCTTCTGTCTAGGAGTTGTGGGCCCCTCTCCCGGGGGACTCTGTGATCAAGAAAGCAGAAATTGACAAAATCATCAAGGAGTAAATGCTGTCCTTTTTTTCTTCATGATTTGTGATTTCCTTAGTAGGTTGAGAAGTGTTTTTAGGCAACATACTTCAATAAAAAAGACACAAGAAGGTGTTCATAGTGGTTTTTGTTTTGCTGAAAATGTTGCACAAATACACTGTAACTTTCATTCAAATCTTGTTCATCAACACTGCAAAGAGCCTCTATTTTCATGCATGAAGCCAGCAAGAATGCTTCATGCCCAAGGGGGTGATTGCCAACTGCCCCTAAGCACCACAGATTGACAATATTTGTCATCTTTTGGTATTTTAAGGGGAAAAAGTTGACAGAACACAACTGGAAATCTGATACTTACGCTACCATCCATGGTTCCCCCTTTGCTTTTGTATTTCGATGAACCTGTTTTAACTGGAAACCAAAAAAACAACGGATGAAAAGGTTTGAAGGCAAAAGGGCAGAGCATACAGTGACAAGTAACAAGCGCTCAAGAACAAATATACTGCAGGGTACCTGAACATTTTCTTCTTTCCTCGCACTGCCAACGACTGGAATACACAGGGTCATCGATGATGCTGTGTACAGCCCTTTTCTAAACACTTTTATGGTTGCTCATAAACCCAAATCCATCTGCATCTTTTACTTAGGATTTTAGATTGATTTTCTTTTTACATTTCTGTGACTGTTTATTCTACTTTACTTATCAATTTAAATATCAATGATTCCCTTTGTGATGTGTTTGTACCTGTTGTTGGTTTACACGTTCTACTATTTCGTTTTACAAATTAGCATTTTTACCTTTTGTTTTTAAGGTTTTCATGTTTTTTTCATCATTTTCATCATTTGAACCACTTTTGTGTAACTCTTGTTTTCATGATTTCTTGTCTGTACGTGTACATGTAGTTTCATTTTTATTTGGGAGTGAATTTCACATTGAACACGGTTGCCTTTAAACAATTAAATTAATTAAGTAAATAAATGTTAGGGCATAGTGATTATCAGATTATACGGGTGGAGGTTGGGGTATAATGTTTATCAGGTACATGTATGTTAAAGCGTAGCTGTGATCACTTTGTTTTAATATCTACCTTCAAAATGCACCTTTGTGTCTCATGTAACCGTCATGTCCACTCTCTTTTCCCTACAATGTATTTCAAAGGGCACTTTACCTCCTTTTGGTTTTTATGCCAATGAGTATTTCCATATTTATGAGCAAAACTGGGATGTCATCCCAGGAGGAAATTCCTCAGTTACATTGGTTTGTGTATTAAGTCCTGCATTCATGTATTTACAGATTCTGCCAAAGTACTTTCTCTTCTTTGTTGACTCCTTCCTGTTTATGTGCAGAGAAATGAGCAAGAATCAATCCTTTTCTCTGAAATGTTTCCAGTAAGTAAATTTGGGGTTTACAATTTCAACAGAAAAACCTATGCACATACATGTCTTCCCTTGATGACATCGCAGCAACAGTACCTTCAGTTGTCCAGGAAGGCACGGATAATTTTAAGTGGTTCAAAAAATGCATTTTTCAATGCGTTTTACCAAGTAAATGTAGGACTGTCAAAGAGTTTTCATACATTGAAGAGTGCGACATTGCAGAAACATCCCTCCACTATCCTGCATGTCCTATGTCCAGAGTCCAATTTCACGGTTTTACAAACTTTAATCAGTGCAGAATTTTCCACTCTCAGAACTGGCCTAGAAAGAAGTCAGCAGCCCAGCAAAGCGTACAGCACACTCACCAGTAACATTTGCCAGCAGTAAAATAAACAAAAAGGGCAATTATTGAAAGCTCATTAAATGTTTCTCTTCAAGCAGCTTGGGAAATTTGTTGTCAAGGTAAAATGTTTAGCCAACAGTTTTAAGCAATCATTAGAGAAATTCAGTCCTAGCCTCCTAGGTTGATTCTGTAAATGTTATGCAGTGTACAGGTACATGTACATGTATATCTAAATGTACATACATGTACTGTACATGTACATGGACCTACTCTTCAATGCAAAAATTATAAGGCCCCTCCCTTAAAGCTTTATCTCATTTACAGATCCATGTACATGTACACTGTAACCCTGAACATGTACATGTACATGTATGTCTGTAATGCACATTCAGCAAGCACATGTATATCACTGACTGCAATTGTCAAGGTTTGATGTCAGTACAAAGACCCCTGATGTACTGAGCGAGCGTCACACCTACATGTACACCAGAGACATGGACCTGTCTGTAGCATACATGTGTGCAGTACACATGAAGAGGCCTACATATATACAAGCACACAATACATGTACATGTACAGTGTCACGTCATGTGCACAGACAAGATTGTAGGGCACATTTCTGCATAATGTTGCACTTCACATGAATGCATGTATCTATCCATTCATGTACGTGTACATTTAACCTGTAACTGCACCACTGGTGATGGCCTTTTCATGTTTGCAAATGTATATGTACTGCACTTTGAATAATTCCATGTGGTTACAGCATTACCATGTTCTTTTTTTAATTTCTCTTGTATATGTCCGGTATGTATAAGTAGTTATCAATATTCAAATGATTTTACAGTATACAGTACAACATGGCTCACCAACAAATGGATTTAGGCACTGCACATAACATTTCAAGTGATTCAATCTTATCCCATTGGTGTGTAAATCTGTATCAAAATTAAAGGGTTGAGGAATTCAGGTTTAACTTGTTTGTGTGTACATGTACATACATGTGCGCGTACCTGGTACCAGTACGAATACTGAATTGTCTGAGAATATATGACAATTAAAGAATCCTGGGTGAATTTTTTAATGCACTCTTTGTGCAACTTTACATGTACATGTATACTCTTCTTCAATGAATGAAAATTATTAAAAAATTTTCTTGTACACTTATTTAGTTCATAGGGAAGCCAATAACGGTGCTGCTCAGTTTATGCTTTTTTCTATTCAAATTGAGAAATTTCCTCAATTTGCTCATAAAAAGCATTAAGCCTAGTTTCCATGAGGTCATTTGTAACAAAGACAGTCCGCAAGACGTGAAGACGCAGACACGAACAGAAGAGATGGTGCATGACATCATTCCACCCAAAAACTGAAACAAAATGGTGTCCCAAACTCCATGATTTTTTGCAGAAAACACCCTTTAAGATTGACTGCACCACCTCATAACGCCAAACTCCGGTTTTATGCATTTTACTGATGGTCAACTACATGTATTTAGTTCATCATAAGGGTGTAATATCTAAGCATTGAGAAGAAAATGGGCAAAATTCGTGGAACTAAGCGCGAGGGACATTGATGCACGCCAGTCATGCCAGCATGCGTGTTTATATGGGGCTACCATAGCTACTCGACGCAGACCTTCAGCAAAGTTAAACTTGGCTAAACTTTGCTAATCATTCGCGGGCTCATTTGCATTTGTCTGCATTGTCAGCAACACCATTTGGCACGTTTCTGTGCATACATGTATGTACATGTATGTCCATGTTGAAGTGTGCATTGTGATTGCATTGCTCTCTGCGTTTCTTACATGTACGTCGATATGGAAATCAGGCTTTACAAAGAAAGGGTTGCTCATTGGCTTATTGTCATGTACAGTAATCACCAAAGAAAAAGACATTTCTAACAGCAAAATACCACTATATAAATCCTGCAGTTTTTTGGACACAAATAATGCAACATTGAGGATTTCTTTGGATGACATCACAGACTTGATCATGAATATGGATACTCACACTGGCATTTATGCTAAAGAGGCACAGATACTTGTGCCTTTTAAAATAGTGAGACAAAAACATGTACAAGGTTGACTGGAACACAAAAGGTGCATTTTCAAAGGTTGTAGTAAAAAAATGCATTCGCGGACCCTTTAAGAACCTTCATGTGATCTTGGTACATATCTGACTAAAAATGACATTCATCCGGTTTCCATTTTTCTTCTTCACGTTTTATCACACAAAACCTTAAATAAAGTTTCCAAGTAACCTGAACACAGAGAAAACATATCTTACGGTGATGAGCTCAGCTGCTGACAGAAATGAACTAAAAATCCCTTTCCTTAAAATACCCTTACTAATGATACATGTAATTCTGCAAAAACTGGCAATGTACGTGTAATTTGTGTGGTTTGCTGGGTTAGGGTTGGGTCAGACTTACATGTACAACAGGCTAGCCAAATTTGGGTCAACTCTAAACTGTACAAAGGGTCTCAACACAGTGCTCCTTTTAGCCCTGGTCCAAACATGTACATGTATTTCAATGCATGGAGAGAAATGCAACCTGCTTGTAGTAGATCTCATCATAGTATATGTACACGTACATGTACATGATTGTGTACACGTGTACATGAACTCTGCACAATAACAAATGTACAGTACATATACATGCATGTTAGTTGTGTACATGTTCATTGAATATACATGTAAAATCTCACAGCAATGAAGCAATTGTCCAAGATTTGGGGGGGAGATCTAAATAAAAGTGTAAACCGCACTCTTTACCAGATAAACAGAACACACAAATATGATCTCCCTGATCAAGAGACAGAAGTGTTCACGGCACATTTTGCTTTAATATATAATGCTATAATGTACATGTATAAATTTGTACAAGCGCTTACATTTACAATGTGCATGTGCATGTACATGTCCATACAATGTATGCAATGTACATGATACACTATACATGTACATGTTAAGGGCAGAGTTATTCACTTATGAACCCACACACTGTATGTACCCCTTCCTTCCAAACAAGCTATACACTACTATGTCAACAGGATCTCCACATGGTACAAATGCACAATATGCACATGTAACACATGCATGTACATATCTGCAATGCACGCAGGTAACTTGTACATGTATCCGTGTGCATGCACCAGTACCATGTGTACATGTGCACTTAACTCAAAGCAACACACAACAATATGAGGTGGACTTTGATACCACAGAGATTTACGGCAACACTGGTGGTACATGTATTTGTGACACTGGAAATTGTATAGTTAATGATGACGTGACATCCAGTCTGGGCTATTGCTCTGATCAGATCTTCAATGTGAAAAAATCTGACACATACAATTAGCACTGCATTTAAGAGCAACATTTTCTCTTTGAGTATACTGATGAATTATGCAGTGTTTCAATGGACAATCTTGATGGCCCCCATTTATGGTGGAAAGCACTGTGCTGAGTTTGTGAATCATATGCATGTACATCATGTTCGCCCTTCCATTTCTTTGTTCATCTTTATAACTGATTTGTAAGCACCTAGTCAGGTTCCTTACATAGTGTGTTTCATGATTTGTTTTCAAAAACCATACCCTCCAGAGCGATCCCTGTTCGCCACTTCCAAGGTTGTATTGTGTATTTGGGTCATGATCCCTGGCTATTTGGTGTTTCAGGTTTTATGGCTTCCGAGTACCAACCCCCCCCCAAAGATACTGACAAATGAGAAGGACCCTAACATAGAGTGGAGAGCTTAGTTGGTAGAACACCGGTACGGTATTCCAGAGGTCACAGGTTCAACTCCCGTTCGTCAATTCCTTTTTACTTCTTTAATTGACTTGTAAGGGCCTAGTCAGTTTCCTGTACAGTTTGTTTCAAGAAAATAAATTTTACCACGGGCGGTGCCGTTTTGAAAAACGAAGGCGTTTCGTGCATCGTAATTCAAGGCACCTGACAGGTGTTCTGTTTACGTTGTACCATACAAAACTGGTACCCTGTCACATCTTGCGTGACAGACGAATAAGGAACCGGTGAAATTAAATTTGAATAACATTAATATGCATGTTATGTACCATGCTCCACACGCATACTATCAAAGTGCATGTGCAACTTATACTAATCAATACTGTGACAATGTGAATTATGCATCTACGGCACCTGTCGGGTGCCTTGACTTCCGACGCACGAAACGCTGCCTTCGTTTTTCAAAATGGCGCCGCTCGTGGTCGGCATTTAACAGCACAGGAGGGGTTTTTCGAGGCGCCATACATCAGAAAGTTTACAATTTTGAAAAGCTTTAGGGTGCTGGTATGAAAGTCCAAACTCTGAGAAATACGCCGGTGTAAGTAAAATTGTCGAGTCATTCTTATTTCGGAAGATATTAGGATTCAAAGTTTGTGACAATCCTGCAGTTTGGCTTTCAGGCATTTAAGACATGCCTTGAAGTAGGGCTGTGGTGGCGACAGATAAGAGACAGATAGTAAAAGCGAGCCACTACAGCCCTATTTGTGGGGCTAATGCGGTACCATGCAATGAAAGGTTGTGTTCATTTGTGGATAATTTGCAAGTGATGTTTGGAGTTTGATTGTGGCATCTGTACACGTACTGGGTAACAAAAATGACAAAAGTAGCAATGTTACTAACTTAACAATGCAGTGGTTGTGATAAGTAGGCCCTGTCATGCCTGTACCCATCATATCAAAATCTCTGTCACTGAACTTTGGCAGGTGGAGTCTGGGTGCACATCACGTGCTGATCACAAGTTAACATCAGCCATGTTCACTATTTTATTTACACCACGCACACAGCCACAGAAAATTAAAACGAACACTTACGGCTATTCCCTGATATGGTACGTTCTCGATCCCGCTCTAGTGGTAATTTCGGCGGCTTGGTTGCTGCCGGCTGCTCAGCAGCAGCGTCCGCCATTTTTAAACTCGGGCACCTGACTGTTTAGTGGCCGGCAGTGCACGATCGAAGGGTGACTAGGCCTAAATGTAAAATTACAGCATCGGTTACGCGGTTCCACGCAACGTTAATGTAACCGGCAAAATGTAAACGTTTTTAGTTCTCTCCTTTACACGTGTAAAGAAAACTGCTACCTCCTACTTCCCAACTGGTCGTTTCATCGGCATTGTCAAATGTGACTGTTCGGCCGATCCATGATTTTCACATGTTTTCAGGCGGAAAGTACATTTTCAGGCAACTCCCTCATCAGATGCCGACCACAAGTACAAGCTGTCAGTCACTTCGTGATACCGGAAACAAGATTTAGTTGGTACCCTTGTGATACACACGCCCATATTTATACGGGTTCAGAGGACTACCAGTTTTATCGCCCTCCGCGATGTAATGTAACGCCCTCAATGATCTTCTGGAGCCATTGCGAGTGAAACCGATACTTCAAGGTGGGCGGATTTTTCAGCAAGACAATTATCAATGATCGCGACGTACGTCATCCGATCATAGTGAAAGGAAAAACAGAAAGATGTGTGCGTCAATCACTACAGACAAACGCATCCCACAGAAAATGCAAATCCACAGGAAAATCGGGCAATCCGCATGGGCGTAAATCCCGAGGGAGTACATATCCCCCCTACTTTTTGCTTCTGAATCTTCCCCATATTTCGTGCTGATAAAACATTAAACTGCATGGTGAAGAATTTTTCGGACTTTCCAACAACAAAAAATGCATTCAATAATACTAAAACAAGAGATAGGCCTAACACTAAACTTCAAAACAAAACAATCCGTTCTGATGTAAGATTCTATAGTGTAATACGTATTATCTTTATGATGAACATAACCCCCTGCATAATGCTCTCAGCACAACCCCCCCCGACGTAAACAGTATTGCGTCATCAGTATACAGACGTTTATTGAAATCATAAAATTCAATATGTATAGACAAGTGTTGTACTATTCCGGCATATATATATATATATACATATGTAATGAACCCCACTAAGGTTTTAATTTATTTGGAGAAACGTAGGCCTAATAGGCCCATGCTCCTTTCTTGCGTAAACGATTATGGTAATGACGCGAATGAAAGCGTTACATTGCACAAACTCCGGAAACTCATCTACAGACGCAACAGAATCCGGATTGAAACAGCTCCAAAAGTCCCCACTGATTCACAACAGTGGTCCCTGTAATGCGTTGGAAAATATCGGCGAGGAGGGGGAGGCGAGGGTAAATGCGAGTGTTGAATGGACAGCTGGTGTGCGATTATTGGTTGGCTAGGGCAAAATGACTGAAGGTCTACTTAAGTTTCTAAAGAGTGGGCAAGTTGCTAAAGAATGTATTCAGCTCACATGCAGTTGCTATTTTTTCACCATTGTTGGTACATGGTTAAAATGAAAACTTTTTATTACTATTAACTCTTTGGCAATTTAGTGTTAGGCTTAAAATGAAACCCTCGGTGGATCTTTTTGAAATGTTCACCTAATAAAAGCTAACTCATTCAAAAATTAATGTTCACTAGCTGATGGGAACAAACTCAGCTGCATGGGTAGGAGATCGGGATGCAGTGACTGGGTGGGGGTAGGAGACTTTGGTGTATTCTTATCACCGACATCGACAGTAGTAAATGTACCAAAATGTATCAACCCGTGCACGACGCATGCAAGCGAAATCAGGAAAATGTACGTAGTTTTATATAGAGTTCTGTCTTTAAAAAAAATCCGCTGGTAGGCTGGGAGTCAATGGAGACGGAGAGTAGACGGAAGACTTTGGCTTCAGATGATCAGTCAAGAAGCCTTGTTTTTGGACTTGGTAGTTGATATCATTGTCTTGAAACCGTTGAGAAGAAAGTTTCAGCAGCACAGCGGGAGAGTACAAATTCACGACGGACAAATGACAAGTTTCTCAATATCGACGAGAATATAATATTAAATCAGTGCACTGGTTTGATAGTACATCCTCATCGATATTCGGAAGCAACCCTTCCATATTTCTCTGATCTACAACTTTCTCAATGTTCATTTTGGGTTGAAAGGTATTATGTCAAAACGAGTGCTGGTAATTTCCCCCTAAAAATCCTACATGATAGACAGGTGGTACAGATTGAAAAAGGCACCACGATCCTAAAGCGCCCTCCAGCTCCAGCTGCCAACAATGCGCCGAGCTCATCAAGAGCGTCGTTTTATTCCATAATTCTATGAGAGCGCCCGACGCAAGCGCGTAGGGCCTGTTTAACGCATAAAGATGCATAGATATAGAATAAAAAAATCATTTTTTAAATCTGTGTATGGATGTGACTCACACGCCGGGATGAATTTTTGAACTTCAGTGCGCGTAATATAGATCTGTCCTGCATGCATTTGGCCTAAATGTCGCAAATATTGTTCGGCATCTGAAGTGGTTTTTAAAGATTTTTATTATTCCATAGACTTGAGTGTTTTCATAAGAGGAAAATCTTCAGCAATTAAAGATGAGCTGCCTAATTGAATTCTTTGACTACTGTGTGCCAGGTAAGATCATTTGGGCATCTGGTGATGTTTCACCCTGTTATCGTAGACATCTGAGTTCAAGCCATATTGTTACTACTGGTTCTAATTTTTTTTTAAAGTTAACAAATAATTTTAGAATTTAACTTAATGTCCAAGAAATAGGGGTGCATTTAGCTTCCAAGGGCAAAGTCAGAAAAGAATGTTCACGTGGTGGGAGAACAGATTTCTTTTTTGGACTTTTTGGCCCATTGGGCAATCCTTACTTTAAGACACCGCGACATTTTTGTTTCATTCAATTCCAAACTTCTTATACAAGGTGTGTATCAATCCTATAATACATCTTGTTTATGTAGTTTTCAAGTACATTAACATATTCATTCTTGTGCACACACGCACCTATGAAATATGGGGGTGATCAGAATATTGACAAGAATATAATATAAAATCAGTGCTCTGGATTCTGGAATATGTGATTGCCGAGCTTTCGGTAACTGAGTACCTTCTTCAGGGCAAGCAGATTCGGTTCAGTTCACCTATGAATCTGTTCACAATTATAAATTCTAATTAGGCATTCTCAACTGTTCGGGTCATAGCTTTCAATTCACTACCTAAGTATATTTTAAAGTGCAACTATTCAGAAATACATTAAAAATAACGGGTTTGTACACGTAAAAGTAGGTACTGCAGCCCACTGACCCTCTCTTGGCTGGCTTATTAATGTTTTAAGTATTGCTATGATGATTTACTGCTCAACCTAAGTCAGTCCGGATGTTCAGATTTAGGCCAAGTTACTTTAATGAACACATTTAAATGCAATCCGGGTACAAACCTCTGATCTACTTTTAAATTTTCGACGGAAACCCGATTTATACATTTGAGTTAGGACTCCCTATACGTTTTCATTGTTATGGTGGGAACAGAGCAGAACGTCAAACTGACCATAATATAAGTTGGTATAGAGGGATCCCAATACGACGCTTTTAGCGTCGATCTGCACACTTTCGCGTTTGAAAGCGAGGCTGTATGTGTCAGCTTCAATTCTTAATACGATCAGACGATTGAAAGTAAGGAGTCAAGACACAGAATGCATAAAGGTATGTTAAATTCAGTCTTTTCAAGCTGAATTTTTTTTATGGAAGAGTCTTTCAGGATGACTCCACACGTAAATAAAAAGAAAAAATAACGACAATTGACCGCAAACTAACGTACCTGCGATGGTCGTGTATCTTGAGCAGTGGGCGTGGTTTAAACTGAGCTGGCGTCACACTTAAGAGCCGGATACTCCATGTACTGTGTGGACTCCGCGGGCGCGCGCGAAGAACTTCAACACAGACAATTTCGGTTGCGATGCAGATATGCGTAGACGGCGCTAATGTGAAATCCCTCTTTGCATACATTTAAGTCAATAACAAACAACATCGATCATACTCTCAAATGCGAAAGTGATTACTAGACCTTTGAAAACTGTTCGGCCAGTTTGTGTTTGGCATACGGCAGAGACTTACAGATGTCGAAGTTACTATTGTTTCATTTCGAATGTAGAGGCCTAAACCCTCCTCTAGAGGAAATTATGTCATTATTAAAACGTCATCGAAAATAAGCTTGATAGACTGGATCAATTTTTTCTCTGATTGGTAACAGACGTGAAGCGGGCTGTTAAGAAGATCTGCCCATGTTTGTACCGCATCATATGGGGAGAGACATGGGAGTTTGTCATGGTGAAGACAGTACTAGGCTTCGCCTTCGGAGGCCTACTCGGTGCTGGTAAGTTTGGAGGGAAGTGCACAGATCAAGCGAATTTTCTACTCTGAGGTCATCTTAAGTTTGCATGGCAGCTCTAGGAATGACCAGAATTTGCACCACGCTCCATTCCTCATTTTTCTCAAAGTCAGTGTCACTTTTTTTTGTAGGAATGGCAGTAGCAACTGTTTATGAGAAATGCTATAGTTCGCTGGTCGCGACCTTTTCTTATAAGAGGTTGCACTTCGTATAAAGTAGCTTTGTTGTACTATGATGACACGTGAACTTGCGCACTGAGATTCATACAGATCGAAGTTTTTAGGCTAGAGGATTTGTTTCTTTTATTTTTCAGCCCTCTATTTCTTCGTGATAAATCGTATAACCGCCCTTCCACCCGACGGTCGGGAAGCGTTCGGAGCTGTCATCACCCTTGTGCTAGCGGCAGGCTTCGCACTGTCACTTCAGCTGCGATGTATTATGATTCTCGTTCTGCCGAATTTCTTCGGTCGACACGGCAGAAGTCTTCTCGCCTCGTTCGCCTTTGTCCTGTTGCTCAGTGGTAAAGTTTGGGGTTTGTACAACCGGTACAGGGCATCGACGATTTCTTGCCCCAATTTTAAACTAGAAGAGGCATTTCGCTCCACTTCTGTAATACAACGTGCATTACTTATTCCCTTAGGCGCAGGCGTTATAGTATTAAAACTGATTACATGTAACTGACCAATCAGTGGCCTAGTGAAGTGCAAGCAGTCCTATCGATCCGGTTCGTTTCAAGTTTAAACCACGTCCACTGCACATGCACACTGCACACAGAGTTATAAGCATTGATCGTCATTAACGTATGTGGAACCGTGGAAACGGAAGTTAACGCGGAACTTCAGTGTTCTTCCAATGAGAGCCTGCAATCAGTGGCGCGTCCGCGTGTACATGGCAAAGTCACTTACGAACCGGATTGTTGCACCAAGGGAAAGTCGTGCCCAATTGAAAAGCAGTACCAATAAGAATATGGAACATTCGGCCAATCAAAATGAGCGCAGAGTTCTTAAAGGAATAAGAGTGAGCGATTGGATCTCTGCTGGTGACGTAATCAAAATTGACATCTGTCGGTGATGTACGCTGTGTGCATGTGTCAATTCTTTTCAAAAGGTTTTACTTTTATGGTTGAGTTGCATGGGGTCTTTTGTTTATGAACTTGGAAGTGACTCGTGGGTAAATAACACAAATTGGTTGTGAGTGTCAGGGGCGTGGAGGTTGGGAGAGAGCCCCCCCTAATAATTCCAATCGGCAAATATAGCTTCGAAGGTAAATGAATCCAACACTAGTATATAAACGATATACCTTGGCCATCGGCATTCCCCCCTGAAGCACAAACTGTATACCACAGATTTATATTTAATACAACATGAGGTTGCTGAACAAAATACAAGTCGGCAAATTGACTCTGCCACCACCAAAGTTGCCTTTGCTACGCCCCTTTTGAACGTACATGCAACTGCGGTTCTTGGCATTTATGGCAACCGGCAGGTCCTGTCAATAACATCGTGAGAAATTCCAAGGAGTCGGCCCGGGCTATCTCGTGCACTTCCTCGCTGACGTTCAACCACAGCAGAGAACTCTTCTTGCTCCTTCACAAGCCTTTCACTGATGCCTTCCAGAACGTTAGGGTAGGATCGATTATGGTAGATTAAAAGATGCATTTCAAGGGAAGTTTTTTTAATGGACATCATGTGATGGAGTAAGGATTTTTCCAAAACGTTTTGCTGACATGAGAAGTCCAGGAATTTTCAGGGGGGGGGGAGCTGATATGTTGCAGACGAACCATAGAGAGAGACCCTGAACACCAAATTGTGATTTGGGACAGGAAATTTGGGAGAATTTGTGGTATCTTGTAAGTAGTTAATATAATTTAGAGATCAGTAAGCCACTCAATAGTCGTCTTTCGTAGACCCTCAAATTCTCATCCTCTGAAAAAATATATGTAGTTCAGAGAACAGACGAAAGGTAAATACATTTTTAGAGTATGGCATAATTTTTGTCGAATTGAAGGCACTTTGAAAAACAAAATTAAAAAATAGCTGGTTTAGGCTGGACAGATTTAGTAGAGACAAGACTAAAAGGCACCCCTCTACACATTTGGAATACTGAACAAACTTCTAGCAGAGCCATGCACTCGTGGAATGGCAAATAACATCATTATGTCGTGCTACCCACTGCCTTCAAAACAGCACCATCAAATGAAGGCACGCCACAAAATACATGCATGTCCTATGACTCGTAATCCATTCCCACCCGGATGCCGCGAAAAACTGCAGGGACGGAGCGAAGAGATCGAACGCGAGGCCAAAAATGTCCAACAGGAATTTCTAGACTTTGAGGACGAGGTGGAAGGAAACGATGTCGGTGGTGGAAAGAAGAGGAAGTACTCCGGCACACAATCACCAGAAACACTGGAGAAGGCTTACAACTTCAGGAATGCCGAGAGATGCGAATGTAAGGCAATCAATAAAGACACTACATGGAAGTTTTATCCTTGTGAACAAATTGTATAACAAATAATTGAAAAACCAAAGTACAAAATATGTAACCTGAATGCGATTTGTGAGTAATACAGCATTTGTATATAAAATGTTAGACTGTTTGTCATACACATTAATCTACATATCTTGTGGTCTTGTCCCTTCATCAAAGCAATGTTAGAAGGTAGGACTTGACCAAGTGTTATGTACTATTTGATTGACTTCAGATATATGTATTTATAAGTGTCCTGAGATTTGAGTAGTGCCTTCATAAAAAGTGGAGGGTGACCATGCAGAGACTTAACTTTATACATGAGCAGAGCATCTTAAAACAGAACTGTAGTGTCTCAAAACAACAGCAGAGTGACTTGACATGGAAAAATTCTACATGAAAATACAAACACTAACTTGTGGCAGATATCTTTTCCTTTTCCAGATTTGTTTGACAAAGGAATGCAGACGTGCAAGAGGGAATTAAAGAAAATGGAAGACGAATGCTTCAACCAGAAAAAGGGGCTTTTTCAAAAGCTCTTTTGTCTCCCACTGAAATTTGAAAGAATGTGCAATCTGGTTAATTGTAAGTAGGCATTCTCAGATGCTTATACACACATCCATTTCAGGCTGACAAGCATCTGTCAAGCTAGAATCTGTATGTGAACATGACAGGGATATTTACTCTGCCCAGCAATGACATTCCGTAGGGTGGATGCCCTGCATGCATGCGCTTATTTCCCCACGTGAGGTGACAGAGTATTCACAAGTGTTAAATTCCACAACCGTTTGTGTGTGGCTCAGTTATACACCACCAGTGATATTTGATTGTCAACCTAGCCTCTTCCTGTGTCACTGGCTGGTGAGTAATCATATCGAGAGCCTGAGATGCCTATCGAGTCATCCAGAGTTGTAAGGTTTCAAGATAGTGACTCAATTTGAGTGTAACTCGAGTCATGATTTTCTGGCAACTATGCATGAGTCCCAATGGGTATTGACTCCACTTGACTCAAGTCACTTTTGGGGTGTGTCTCAGTTATACGCCACCAGCAATATTTGATGGACTTGACTTGAGTCACGATGTCAAAACGATTGACTCAAGTCCCAAAATTTAGTGAGTCATAAGTGGGCCCCCCCAGATCTGACCTTGAGTGCTCCTTGGATATACATAGACAAAATTTCAGAAAGAAACAAGTGGAGCTCCTCAGGAAGTTCATCATACCGTATGGCTAGTGTCCAAAGCTCTTGCCTCTCACCACTGAAGTCCTTGGTTCGATTCCCAGCCCGGGCCATGATGAGATTAGTTGCTTGGTTCTCTCCAGTGCCACGGGGGGTTTTCCGTGATCAACACTAACTGTCTTTGCTCCATGGGCAGATGTAGGTCATTTCATGGCTGCTCAATGTGTCCTTGCATACCTTTGCCTAGAACATGTTTGCAGCTGACTTTACAGTGCGCATGAACACATGTTGTATGAAATTTTTGCTTAATAAATGAATACATTGTAATTCCCAATGATCAATTTTTGTTTCCCTTGGGTTGCAGTGTTTCGGTTCATATGTAAACAAGTCCCCGAGGCGCCTTCAGAATTTGGCGAGATGTACTTGACGCTAAGAAGAGGAATCCACTCCTTTGATACTAACTTCAAGGTGGACCTACGTTGGCAAGTACGTCATTGGACGCTCAAATGGGCACCAAACATTTATCTGTCACAAAAGAATGCTTCAATCAGTTTCAGAGGCATCTTTTATCTCTGGAAGACACCAGTTTCTCCGAAATTTGTTCTCTCCTACCTTTTATGGACTTTCTTACCTCACAAAATAAATAATCTTTCAGTGTGATAGTATTTGCCTGAAAATTTCATGCAGTCTTGGAAATCTTTAGTCTACTGTTTAAGTTCTCTTTTGTGTCTCTGTTCACAGGGACTTGCTAAACACCTCATCACCTCCTTACCCTCTTTGGCCTCATGCATGGTTTTGAGAAAAATCCCCCACTTGGGGCTTAGATTTTCCTGTAAATGATTCTTTGGAGCAGTGGTGAATATCAACGATAACAAAAGACTTATTTGGCTTCTGGTCATTCAAACTTTTGGTCATCCTTTGCCATTTAGATGACCAAGTTCCCAGACATCCTGAATGGCACATCGATAACCGAGGTCCGGGCGAGGATGGCATACGAGATGAGAGTGCGCAAGCAGTGGTTTGAGGCCATCACAGCCCTGGCCAAAATCTTCCTGTCATTCATGTTCATCCTGGTGTTCAAGAGGTAAAGCAGAACAGATGTCAGGAGCTGGAGACTGATGTAAATTGAGCCGTTATGTCCTGGCCCCCAAAATGAAAAATGCAATTAGATTCTCATGAATTAACAAACCCTACGTGAAACAGTCTGGAGAGTGTCTGCCAATTTTATGCCCTTATTTTAGGATTACTGCCAAAAGGTGCAAATTATCGTCCACACCTGGAGTTTGGAACCTTCCACACCCATGAATTCAACTCCTACCATGTGTATGCTTGCATAGACATATACAGGTACAGTTGAACCCCAGTCATGAGAGTCATGAGACCACTCTCAATATGCCATCAAGGCTTTATAACATGGAAAAGTTTCGATCACAAGTCAGTTTGTATTCGCTTTCTGATATAGATAATGCCCAGCTCCCCCCTGTTGTAACAATTAAGGTACATGCAAGTTGGTACCTGACTAAAAATTTAAAAGCACCCTTGTGGTTTACTAATGCTCAGAAAAAAAAATGAATGGTAATTGTTTGCAGGAACTCGTAAAACTCCACAGCTCTTCACCAAGTGTGCCATTTACACTAAAACTATCCAGTGGGACTTCAGTTATGCAATTTTTGTTTGTAACTGTTTTTTTTTTTTTTTTTTGGCTTCACTGACAGTGCAAGCAACTACAGTTCCAAGTACCTGACAAATGTCAGCTTTGACAATGTCTACCTGACAGCTTACTTCAGGAAAATTGATGCGAGGAGAAGAAAACAGGTGAATTCTCAACAAGTTGTGAAAAAACACAAGTTAGCGCATTGTACCATTGAAATTCATGATTTTGTCACCGGTTATGTGAATAGGTTGTAACTTAGTTTGAGACGGGATAACTTATGGGGGACTGGTGATGGACTTGAGGGACTTGTGATGGACTTGAGGGACTTGTGATGGACTTTACCACAGCCATACTTAGTTCTTACAAACTTTCACCATTCTGTTATTCTCCTTGGTATCCACAGAATAAGAGGACACTCCTTCCACAGAAGAAGTCAGAGTCAAATGACATCATCGAAGCTGCCCGCTGGAAACTTAGACGGGAGGAAAAGAAATCAATGGTCAGTAACTGGAACTTCCGACACAAATTTGTGCATCTCAAAGGGGGTCAATTAACCGAGTACCAATTCATGAGACAGGTGAATCAATCACATCATCCAGTCTCAAGTCAAATCGTTATCCAAATAACTGATGAAGATGTTCCTACAGTATGTCAAGGTTCATACCCAGTCGCTTGTAACCAGACTTAAGCCCTTATAATTAAGGGGAACTCAAGTGCAACATGGACCCCCTGCCTAACGCAAATTCTGGCAGTGGGTCATTTTTTTATCAAAGTAAAAAAAATTCAACTAAATAAAAATAAACAACCGTCCAGAGTTGTGCCTTAAATTTTCTTCAACTTGAAAGCTACAGTAAAAAAGTGTTAAGTAAACATGGGTACACAACAGAAAAGGGTGGACTTTCATAGGGTACTGCTCCAGTGGAAACATTTTAAAGCTGTTTTTAAAAAATGTAGTTTTGATGAGGTTATCAACTTTATTTCCCTACACATCCTTTCCTGGAGCCTCCTTGAATACTCCTAAAACTTCCACTCTCCTGGAAACCATGGTGGATCATTTGTTCTCAACTTTAACAGGCATCATGCCCATATAGAAAAATATCAGCTGGGTGCTACAGGTCCCCTTAACTTGCCAGAATTCCAAACATCCTGGAGTTTTTTTGAAGGTGCTGCAACAATGATGCTATTATTTTGTGGGTTGATATTTTCCTGTTTTCTTCTTTTTTTTTGGACAAGGTTGTAGGTACAGTAAGACTGCTCATGCAGGTCATCGTGTCGGTAATTTTAGTCTTCTTTGACAGCCTCTTCTACAACATGCTGGACCTGATTCGACGGCACAGTCATGTGGATTTCACCTTTAAAGGTTAGTCTCCATTCAAGGTGCCAGGGTGGAATGAGACTCATGACTCAGAAAATAAATTGACAAGCTGCCATAAAGCTTTGTGGTTCACACCAACTTCGAGATATCACGTTTGTATAGGAAGTATGCATGTCCAGGCAAGTTTAAATTGACATCAGTCCTAATTTTGAATGGCTGGTTAGCTCTGCACCATGCAGTCAAGTACTTGAGCATTGCATTCCCTTAAATGAGGGCAATTTGGAGTGTTAATGGTCACATCATTGCATTTGATGTATGAAATATCTTGTGAGTTAATCGAACTTCAAGGAACCCAAATCAAACCTTGCCCTTTATTCTTTTTTATGTGTCTTCCTTAAACTTCAGTTTGATTTAACAAGTAAGAAAACCGTTTTTTCTGTCTATCTTTTAACGTCTTAAGTACACTCTGAGCTTGTCAGGGTCCTTGGGCCAGCTCAAATCATAACAAAAGTACATTTTGAACTAGGACACTAAGATGGGTAGAAATCTCTTGTATTTGATGTTTTGTAAAGGTGACAGTCTTACCATTACAGGTGAGCATGCCCTTCGAATCGGTGTCTTAGGAAATGGGATCATAGCCAAGCTATTTAAAAAAGTTCTGTCTGCATTCGACCAGCATCATGCTGTGAACAAGTTGAGCAGTAACAAGCGTAAGTTCAGCTGCTCCGCCGTATCAGTTTGAACATGTACATCCAGAATTTGACGCACAGACTCTTTACAAAACTGATTTCAAATTAATCTGCCAATATTCCCCCTTTTCAAGATTTCTTGGTAGTTTCAACTGGAAAAAAAACAGAAGTCAAATCATATACACTCACCTCACAACTGGAAAATAGTTCACCGGATTTGCTATTCACTAATCAAGCCAGCTTGTTCTCAGTTTTAGAATAGGGTTTGAGTATTGCTCACTTAGTTATTTTCCCTGTTAAATGCAATAAGTGCCGATTGAAAATGGATTCCAGGTTGATAACAGTAAAATGCACTCCTACGGTGACTTTTTTGTGCTCACAAAATATAAAAAAAACATGGCCCAAGAAACTCAGCCAATCCACTGAGGCCTTCTCTCTTCAAATCCAGAATGTCTCCCTCGACCCCACCAGCCAGATCAGCAGATGATCATCATGATCTTTGGCGTGCTCGGGGGCATCTGGCTGCTCTTGTACTTCCAAGCCTACGGACTGCGATTACGGAGAGTCATCTGTGCTTACTTCTATCCAAAGGTAAGAAAAGTGTGTTCGGGGCCCAAAGTCATAGGGCTGGATGGCCAAAACAATCAGCAGATGAAACTTAATGTAGGGATCTGGGAATTCCCAGTTTAATTTAGCGAATTGTGTGACCTTTG